TTATTACCTAATAAAAAGGGTAAAAATGTTTTCTTATTTTTGCTTTTTTAAGTGTAGTAAAGCACTAAAGTCTGAAAATAAATATCAAAAGAACATCTGCGGTGACGCTATTACAGTAACATGGTTGGATCTGTAAACATTACCGACCAACTGTTGTGTATATGAGTAAAATCATGTTTTTCAAATCGCGTTATAATATATTATTATGTTATAATAAAATTAATATAGATTTTTTTAGGAAAATACAATACTCCAATTATATAACGATACTATGAATGCTCTTGTATAATCTTACAGCTGACTTCAGTTCTTAGGAGTTTTTAATGAATATAATTAAGGTCTTTTAAAAATGTTAACTATTGTAAATTTGCACATATTTTTCAGTTAAAATAATATAACACCATTGTACGATATTGAAAACAACATGTTATGGTTCGATCTGTAAATATTACCGACCAACTGTTGTGTTTATGAGTAAAATCATGTTTTTCGAATCGCATCATAATAATTCTAAAACCTATGGTATTATTGTTTTATACCTAAAATATTATATAATGAAAATAATATCGATTTTTGTTAGGAAAAAACAATACTCCAATACTTGTGCAATGTCGAAAACAAAATTATGTTTCTATCTGTATAATCATTACCGACCAGTTATGGTGTATTAGTATATATGAGTAAAATCGTATTTCTAGGTGAATTAAGGTCATATCAAAACTGTTAAAGAAAAAAATTTTTCTGAAACATGTCTAAAATTTAAAAACGTTGTTGTGGGGGGGGGCGTAGAGGGGTAACGGATAATATAATATAAGGGTGTTGAGCCAAAAGAGTTTCCAACAAAATCAACATGTCCTATTAAGATGGATTTCACCATCAAAGTTTGACCAGTGAGAAATTAGATATACCGATTAGGGTTGGGCCTATCCGGATAATCGGATATCCGAATTATCCGGATAATTCGGATACGGATATCCGAAATCCGGATAGTTAAAAATTATCCGGATAGTTTCGGATATTCATTTTATTTTTAAAGGATAAATATACCTTAATAATATACAGTAGTGTTTTTGAAACATACCGAATAATAAAATAATGACACCTAATTAAATTTTACTATTACATGAATGATTTTTAGATATATCCGTGTCAGTGGTTGTTAACCGACTATTCGGATTCTTTGCAGAGTCCATCCTCAGGGTTGTCACGACTTTTCCGCTGCCGGTTAATCAACACTGACACGGATATATCTGAAAATCATCTACGTGATATTTCAACCCGTGAAAGTTTCAAAAAATACATAAATTTGAGTACTCAAAAAAATATATTCCCAAATATATTTTGGGAATAGTTGGGTAATATATACCCTAAAAACATCTGCTGTTGTTTTTTGTTTTTCCCTATTCCTCTGAAAACATTTATCAACATTTTAATACACAATCTAACTAGAAGTGCGTCATTCGAAACACAAATTTACAAAAACATATAGTTGGTAATATGTAGGAGTATTAAAAAAATAACATACTAAGAAACAGATGTCTTAAATGAATCATGGTACAAAAATAATACTGAAAAATTAAGAACTATATTATTCTATTATTTGTTAAATAATTCTTAGTAAGCTGAAAATTATAGTTGAAAAGTATAATTTGTTTTAAATGTTTAAACTGAGTAAGGGATTAGCTCAATTAAGACTATTAAAGGTTTCATATATTATGTGAGATGACTCAAATCGTAATTCCTTTAAAATAATTTGCAACATAATATATTTTATCATTTGCACATATTTTTCAGTTAAAATAATATAACACCTTTGTACGATATTGAAAACAATATGTTATGGTTCGATCTGTAAAAAATACCGACCAACTATTGTGTAAATGAGTAAAATTGTGTTTTTCAAATCACATTATATCATTTCTAAAACCTATGGTATAATTGTTTTATACCTAAAATATTATTATATAATACAATTAATACACGAATGCTATATTAATATAATATGCTTCCGTATATTCTTACTTCAGTTCTTAGGAGTTTTTAGTTAAAATGATTAAGGTTTTTTAAAAATAAACCGGTTTTGTACAATTAAAAAAAAAACAATTTTAATATTAAATAATATGCCATTGCACGCATATTCTGGAAAGTGCTCAGCCCCTCAATTTCGTTGAATAATCATTATTATTATGTGTTATTGAACGTTAAATAAATTTTACTTTCTAACATTCCTGCGATTTGTCGTCAATATCAGCTGTTCCATATTAATTGTCATTATCATTACCATCAGCAATGATTAGTTATTATTTCCACATCAGGGTAATATATTCTAATGTTTATGGAATATGAATGTAAAATTTAAAATCTTCAGTAGCCGGGGGGCATAATATTATGTCAAATATAAAAAATTTGATTACAACATTTTCACTATTACTAATAGGAACAAGTTTTTGTTTTTGAAATCATTAAGTTTATTAGTTTTCATCGTAAATTGTAGGGCAATATAAAATTTAGTCACAATTAGGGATTTTATAAACACAATAAATTGACAATACTTCAATGTATCAACAAAACGGCACATGATTTTTCCGGATTCTGAATACACAATGCAAGTCACGGTGCACGCATTTTTTTGGCATGATAACATTTTAATATCGTAATCAAAATTTGAAACGGTTGAGTTAGAAAAGAATTTCATCAAGTCTTGTCTGCTGATAAGATATGTGAACAATTTACTAAACGTTTGTAAGATGTCACGGTTTCCGACCGCAGGTACAGAACCGCTTCTCCATATGTTATAAAAAAAAATGTATAAGAGTATTATTATTATCTGGTTATCGGTTTTATCGACGGGGTCAATAATATTATTTAATAGTAAGTAATAAGCTACCTGTGTTGAAATGCCAAATATTCAGGGATCAAAATTTCAAATCTTTACAACGTAATAAGTAGGGAACCGATTGATGAAAATTAGAAATTCAAACGCTAAAAATGTTTTAAAAATGTGTCTACAGATTTATCAAGTTATAAACATTCGTTCCCATTTAAAAAAACTAAATTCGATACTTGTTTTACATATGAGGGTTGATGATAAAAATATTCTAAATATTGAAAAATGTAGTAATAAAATATGAACCTATAAGTTTAAGGGAAAAAACGTCTCAAAATATTCATATATTCCGAGAAAATGAGTGTCTTACGTTAGTTGGATCACCCTGTATATTAATAATAAGAATTATATATTATCATACTAAATTATAACACTTTATATCTTACCACACCCTGTTCCGAACCTAACCGACACATTAAAATACTTAGGTTTAATCCTAGACAAACGACTAAAATTATGATACCTACCAATATTTCTATATATACAAAACAGCTGGTTTTATATTACATAATAATTTGTAAAGCAAAGGCATAGTTCATTGTCTATGAAAAACCGATAAGCCTATGAATTCTATGCATTTAAAGCAGATGACAACCACTGCACCCCTCTCCCAAATGCCCTTTAGTAACAAAATCTATTCGGGGTTTCGTCAGGATACAAACAAGTAATGTTTTGTTTGACATTTGCTAATCATAACAAAATAATACACAACTTTTTGACTTTTAAGTACAGTTTAGAACTATAAATGTTAGACGTTTAGAAGGATATCCCGAAAAGTAGTATTGACTGTCCGAAAAGTACCAATATTACTGAGATTATTATATGAGCCTTGGGGTGGGGGGGGGGGGGTTATCCATTAGAGAGATGGAATGACGATAGATTTCTATCGTTAAAGTTAAAGTTTGACATTTTTTTAAAAGTTGTAAGTATTTTGTTATTTTGCTGTTTTTTCCCTGTACTTCTCTAATGTTTTTGTCTAACGTACATGGTTTAACAAAAAAAAACCCATTTGTTTTTCATCATTTTAAATTTATTAATTATATCATAATTTTAGAATATATTTTTGTACTCTTGTGGTAACAGGCAAACATAATTTTTTTTTAAATTTGCAAAATTGCAAAATTTTTCAAAATCTAATTGAATCATTCGTTTGTAAAATAATTCGCTAGATATACTTTTTAGAGCTCTAGGAATAATTAAATATTTTTTTTTAAGTATGAGACCTCCTACACTCTTTTCCATAAACACACGTTATGATTATTTTCAAATGGGATGACGTCCTCAAAAAATAATATATTACCTTTAATTAATAAAATACACTTTTTTTATTTATAGTTGAAAGATGTATTAATTATTTGCATAGACATAGTAAGTTTTTTTATTTTATTTTATTCTAAGAAATGGGTACATAAATTGCGTGAAGCGCAATGTTAATAAGAATTAAAATGATGCTTTATATAATTTTTCTTTAATGAATAATGACATAGTCTGCCCGTTCGGCGATTGCGCGGCTGGTGTTGCTATTTCTCGTGTTTTTCTAAAAATTCTGTAATTAAAAAAATGTATATATAAACTTAGGTTCCTTCTGTTGTACATTAAAATGTGTAGTGTAAATTATAGTAAGCTAATAACTGTCGTTTTGTTGGTAAGGATAACCTGTATAATTTAAATTCAGTAAAAATAACTTAGAGTTAAATAGTAAGCATAATTAGCTCAAAAGTATAATTTAACTCTAGGTATGATAACATATTCTAACCTTTCACTTTTTCTCGTTCTGTGTGTACATTTCGTGGTTTTGCTGTAATATTGAACATTTTTAAATATATATATATATATATTTAGGTTCCTTTTATTGTACGTACAAAAATTGTACTGCGTACATTTGTAGTAAGATATTAACTAACGTTTTATTAATAAAGATAAGCTGTATATTTTGTATCCAGTAGAAATAATCAAAGTTAAGTATTGAAGATAATTTAGTCAAACCGTTGTAAATGCTGTAAACATTTATTTAGGTTTAAAAAATGCGTGTCTTACTAATAGTTCGTTCAAAAATATTATTATTTCAAAATACTCAATACATGATTTGGAAAGATTTTTGGATGAATTTGTTTTAGTAAAATAATGAAAACAACTCACGCGCTGGTAAATCTGTAAAACAAAAAGGCAGTGGTTAGTATTCAAATTATTAATAGTTATATTTTGGTGTTTTTTGGTGTAACTTTTTCTTATACTAAGTTGAGATTACTGATTAGGGCTATGATAATTATAAATAACATATAATTACGTTTTGTGTTTTATCGAACAAGATTTAAAAAAAACGGTTTGTCGGTATAAAACAAACTGTCAAAATTGTTTAGTCATTACCCCACGTAACATTTGGTATTAAATGAAAGAGATCTTAAATATTCAGATAAAGTATATAACTGTGGTATACTCAATGACGAAGCATTAATATTATTAGTACTATATTATCGGTTGTTTATAGTTAAAAAATGTGTAATTGATTTTTTCCGGTAAAACAAAGAAAATGACTTACGTCTTTCAGGTGGTATCCCCGCTGAAAAACAAAAGGATTTTGTTATATTTAGGTGAATAATATTTATACAAAATTCTAGAACAATGAAATTCTAGTTATGTGTACACTTGTACAATATCGAAAACAAAATTACGGGTCTAGCTGTATGATCATTATCGATCAATTATGGTGAGACCTTGTATAAACTAACGATGAGACATAATCTGTACATATTATGAATGCTGAAATAAAACGTTTTTTAAGGTTTAACAAATGAGTATCTTATTAATAGTTTGTTCAAAAAAAATATACTTCCAAATTACTCAGTGTACGCTTTGGAAAGATTTATATGCATTTTTTTGTAAACAAAGAAAATAACTTACTGTCCTTAGTCTTAGATCCAGACCCAGACCCAGACCCAGACCCAGATCCAGATCCCACTGAAATGTAATATAATAGAAATATTATAAACATTTAAGCTTAAAAAATGTGTAATTGATAATTCGTTCAAAAATAATATACTTTCAAATTACTCATTGTACGCTTTGGAAAGATTAGTAAGCTTTTTTTTAGTAATTGATATAATAACTTACGATTTATATTTCCCCCAGTCCCAGATCCCGCTGAAAAACAAAAGGGTTATGTTAAATTTAGGTGGTCAATGTTTATACGAAATTACAAAAACTATATTTATTAAAATACCTGACAACTTTGTTAGAACTAATACAAGCATCATAACAATGTATAAGAAACGCATTTTTGACAGTATATATAAAGATAACTGTCGTTTGCCTTTGGAAGTAACTGGAATACTAGTAAGTACCTACTATATTTTTCTTCTTATATTAGCTGCATGGTGTTTTGTTAATACTAAAAACCACATGTTTTGTAAGTTGTTTTTTGTTTGTACAAATTGCTCAGAAAATATTCAGCAACATTTGAATACACTAGAAGTGGGTCATTCGAAACACGGATTTACAAAAACGTATAGTTGGTAACATGTTGGAGTTTTGAAAAAATAACATACTAAGAAGCAGATGTCTAAAATGAATCATGGTACGAAAATAATACTGAAAAATAAAGAATCATAATATTCTATTATTTGTTCAATAATTCTTAGTAAGCCGTATTGTGGTAGTTGAAAAAATTTTTTTAAATTTTTAAACCGAAAAAGGGTTTAGCTTCCTTCAATTATGACTTTTAAAGGACAAACTACAAAAGCCTAATGTATTATGTGAGATGACTCAAATCTTGACCCTTTTAAAATTATATGCAATATAATCATGATTTTATTATTTGCACATATTTTTAAGTTAAAAAAAAAACAACATCTGCTCTGACGCTATAACAATAACATGGTTATAAAATGTTATTATGTTATGATAAAATTAATATAGATTTTTTTAGGAAAATAGAATACTCCAATTATATAACGATATTGATGACAAATCGCAGGAATGTTAATAAGTAAAATTTATTTAACATTCAATAACACATAATAATAATGATTATTCAACGAAATTGAGGGGCTGAGCACTTTCCAGAATATGCGTGCAATGGCATATTATTTAATATTAAAATTGTTTTTTTTTAATTGTACAAACCCGGTTTATTTTTTAAAAACCTTAATCATTTTAACTAAAAACTTCTAAGAACTGAAGTAAGAATATACGGAAGCATTTTATATTAATTAGTAAATATAGCATTCGTGTATTAATTTTATTATATAATAATATTTTAGGTATAAAACAATTATACCATAGGTTTTAAAAATGTTATAATGTGATTTGAAAAACACAATTTTACTCATATACACAATAGTTGGTCGGTATTTTTTACAGATCGAACCATAACAACCATAATATCGTATAATGGTGTTATATTTAATATGTTATTGTTATAGGGTCCGCTGTCGTAGGGGATCCCTTCGGGGCACAGGTAAACATGTCTTATATGCACACACAACCAACATTAATGAAACATATCATAGTTATAGCATTACCATTTGTATTTCAGAACGAATCTTAATCAATCAATAATAACAATTTTATAATATATAATTTTAATAGAACTGAAAGTAAGATTATACGGAAGCATTCCTAAGTATCGTTATAAAATTAGAGTATAGTTTTACCCTAATAAAATTTATATTAATTTTATTATATTATAATATAGAAGAATAGTTAAAATAAAATATTATTATATGTTCAATGTTAAGAGAGGACATGTTTTTTATTTTTAAGACAATGATAATTTTTTGTATACTTTTTAACAAACATTCGTTATACAAAATCTCTTTTCACTGATTTAGCATTATAAGCTTCTAAATACGAATAAATAGATTTTACATAGTATCAAGTCAAGATCATTTTTGGAATAAAAAATTAAAAAATAATTTTTTTTTTTTTAATAGGATTTACATTTTTTTTTCAAATTGTTTTTATATAATGTGATATCAAATTTTCAGAACTTTTTTATTTTTACTCCCCCTCTCCCAACTTAGTTTTTTTGATAGCAAATTGAGAATATTGTACTAAAATGTTTACTGGTCGATAACCAGTTTCGGTTAACTATTTTTGAATTATGTCCTTTTCGACATTCAACATAATATAATATGCCCTATTTAATAGGGCTTAGTGATCAAAAGGGCCTATAATCATTGTGTTAAAAATGAAACATTAAACATATAATAATATTTTCAATTATTTTTTTATTTTTTTTTAAGCTTTTACGAGCCATTTAAGCTCTTTGCTTCTTAAACCAATTCCCCCCGTACCTAACCGTAAAAATTTTAAATATTTATTCCGTATTATCTCTTTTTTCGTTTATATTATATTCTTGATGGGAATTATGAAAACAAATTTTTTTTTTCATATTAGACTATTGCTTAGTTAAAGTATAATAGGTATACACGCTTTAATGTAAAATATTCAAAAACTGTTTTTTTTCGCTATTTTTTTATGTATAGGCCATTTATGATTTTTCTCATGTACACTACAAATTAATGCGTGACTGCAAATAAGCTTAAAGGGATCAAAATTTGAGTCATCACACATAATATAATAAACTTTTCTGGTTTGTCCTTTAAAAGTCTTAATTGAAGCTAAACCCCCACTCTGTAATAAATTGATATTTTAATTTAATTTAAAAATATTTTTTTTCCGTATCTTTTTTTCAGTTTATATTACATTCTTAATGGGAATTATGAAAACTCATTTTGTTTTTTTCATATTAGTTTATCGCTTAGCTAAGGTACAATATGTACACGCTTAACAGTCAAATATTCGGTTGTTTTTTATGTACAGGCCATATACATAAAATATTTTTCAACTAAAACTTTACGGCTTACTATGAATTATTAAAAAAAAATAAAATAATATAGTTTTTTTATTTGTTCAGTATTGTTTTTGTATCATGATACTGTTTAGACATCTGTTTCTTAGTTTATTATTTTTTTAAAACTCCAACATATTACCAACTATATGTTTTTGTAAGTCCGTGTTTCGAATGACCCACTTCTAGTACGATTGTGTATTCAAATGTTGATGAATATTTTCTGAGCAATTTGTACAAACAAAAACCAACTAAACAAAAGCCTAACGGCTAAAAATATAAAACATGAAACATGCTTAAGCCAGCAAGCTACCAAGTAGTGATTATACGGGGTTATTTTTTTTTATCATGGGCCACTTATTATCTCATAGTATTTAACCAGAGAATATATTTTAATTAAAAGAAGCCGTCTAAGATTTGAACGGGTCGAACAAGACAGAATAGTCGACCAGACCTTTACAACTAAATATTACTTAGTTTTTCCATACTTAAATATTTTTAGAATAAATGTATTGTTAACGACTATTACTATTCTTTTGTGATAACTAGTAGAGTTAGTATAGCAAAGCACTAAGTCTGAAAATAAATATTAAAAGGACATCTGCTGTGCATCTGCCCTACTACAATAACATGGTTCGAACTGTATTCAATACCGACCAACTATTGTAATTGTGTAAAATCATGTTTTTCGAATCGCGTTATAAAATTAGTAGAGTACCTAAGGCTTAGTTTCAATTAATATTTTTAAAGGACAAACCACAAAAGTTTATTATGTTATATGACATGATTTAAATCTTGTTCTTTTTAAAATTATATGCATTATAATAGACTTCATCTATTATACATTTGCTTACATTTTTCAGTTAAAGTAATATAACTATATTGTACGATATTGAAAACAACTTGTTATGGTTCGATCTGTAAACATTACCGGCCAACTGTTGTGTATATGAGTAAAATCATATTTTCAAATCGCGTTATAACATAGATAATACAGATAATATTACAATGTGAATTTGATATATGTTAGTTTTAATCATATTTTGACGTTTTCAAGATATAAATCTTGATCCTTTAAAAATAATATAGAATAAAACATAAGACTGTATCTATTATACATTTGCTTACATTTTATAGATAAAGTAATATAACTATATTGTACGATATTCAAAACAACTTGTCATCTGTAAACATTATCGACCAACTGTTGTGTATGTGAGCAAAATTATGTTTTTCATATCACATAATAACATTTCTAAAACCTAAGTTATTATTGTTTTATTCCTAAAATATTATTATACAATAAAATTATTATATTCTAAGTAGTGATTATTTCTGATTTACAATCTCCTTGCGATTTATGATGATTATACAGGGTGATTTATGTTTTATCATTGGCCACTTAATATCTCATAGTATTTAATAGGAATTACATTTTTTTTCATATTGTTTTTATTCCATGTTTTATCAATTTTTCAGAACTTTTTTATTTTTACCCCTTCCCAACATTTTGATAGCAACTTGTGAATTTTGAATATCGGATACATTTTATTAACTTTTGAAATTAAAATGAATGTACTAAATAAAAATAAGTTTAATAGTTTCGATGAACTATTTTTTAGTTATTGAAGTTTCAATTTTAGGGCAGGAGGAAAGTTGGAGTGTAGTATTATTTTTATCTGCCCGCATTTTTTAACCGCACTGGTGAAGTGGGAGGGGGTCCCATCCTAACTTTTAAACTCTTATAACTTAAAAAATAATTTATAAAATCTGATTATCAACCAGTTAAAGTGTTTGGTATATTATTCTAAATTTAAAAAGTTAATGAAATATATGCATTACCATTTAATTTCAAAAGTTGCTATCAAAAATACTAAGTTGGGAGGTGGTTAAAACCTAAGCTGCGACTACTCGTTATTATTTCAATTTATGTTTATAGTAGGCGCGCTAATTTAGTATCGCAATTTAGAGTCAAAATTTAGTGTCGTTTTTGGGATGGGGGGCCAAGACTAAAGCATATTCTATGCTAAAAAAAAATCAGCCATTTTTCAGCCGAGTCTGCAACCACGATAGAACATTTTCATGTCTCGTTGAAGTACCGAATAAATTAAGATTAGTTGTGGAGTTATAATTAAAAAAAAAAAAAATTACATGGAGCTTCCAGTTACAGCATAAGGCCAAGGAGATTAAAAAATTATGTACAATCAAGTTTCTGGCTAAAATTGTAGTGTTTATTATCTGGCCAAAACTAACTTAACATAGAGTGTTAAACTATTTTGAATTTATTATTTAGTTCAAATTTGAACGTTGAACGTACAACATATCTCTTTTCTCTTATCTTCTATATCTTACCCCTATCCCCTATCCACTATCTCTCGTCCCTATCACTCACCTCTACCCCCTACTCCCACCCTATCACTTACCCCTATCTCTTCTCTCATATCAGATAACAGCGTAACGCTTTTTTTCGGTTATGTACCGGCTAATTTTCACCCCTATCTCTTACCCCTATCTCCCATCCCTATCTCCCGTCCCCAACCCCATCTCCGTGTGGTAACGCTTTTTCGTTACGCTTTTTTGGTAACGCTTTTTCGGTTATGTGCCAGAGCTAAGACATGAAAACGTCAAAATATGATTAAAACTAACATATATCAAATTCACATTGTAATATTATCTGTATTATCTATGTTATAACGCGATTTGAAAATATGATTTTACTCATATACACAACAGTTGGCCGGGAATGTTTACAGATCGAACCATAACATGTTATTTTCAATATTGTACAATGGTGTTATATATTTTAGACATCTGTTTCTTAGTATGTTATTTTTTCAAAACTCCAACATATTACGATCTATATGTTTTTGTAAATCCGTGTTTCGAATGACGCACTTCTAGTTTGATTATGTATTCAAATGTTGATAAATATTTTAACTGTAAAATCGTATTTTTCAAATCACATTACAACATTTATAAAACCTGTGGTATTATTGTTTTATATCTAAAATATTACTGTATAATAAAACTAATAAAGATTTTATTAGAAAAATAACAATTCTCCAGTTATATAACGATACTAGGAATGCTTCCTCATATTCTTACTTCAGTGCTCAGGAGTTTTTATTGAAAATTGTTAAGGTTGTATAAAAATAAACTGGTTTATACAATTTTAAAGTAATTTTATATGCCTTGGAACGCATATTCTAGGAAGTGCTTCTTAGCCCCTCAATTTCTTTGAATAATACTTATTACTGCATCAACCCCCGACAAGCATGGCAGAAATGACATGCGCCCTCTGGCGAACGAACTGGCATAAGTTAGCTATAGCCCTCCCGGTCAGATACACCATACGAATATATATTTTATAATCGGAGTATTGTTTTTTCCTAATAAAATCTATATTAATTTTATTAACATATTCTAATAATGTTTTATGTATAAAAACAAATACTTAAGATTTTAGAATTATCATTATAACGCGATTTGAAAAGCATGATATTACACTTGTATGTATACAAAATAGTTGGTTGGTTTTGTTTACTGATCAAATCAGGTTATTGTAGTAGATTCGCAGCAGATGTTCTTTTAAAATGTATATTTTGACTTTTGTGCTTTACTACACTTAAAATACCAAAATAAAGAACTTGATCATTTTTATTAAAAATAATTTCTATAGACCTGTGACCTCTCCGTCCCCTCTATGCTTTGATTCCATATTCCCTCACCATACTGTACTAGATGAAATGTCTTTCAAATAAACGCGTTGATGCTAATTTATAAGCACTGCACCTCATTTTGCTGGTGTATACTGTGCTTGGTTTGGACTTTAATGGTTTGAAAATACTAACTACTGATTCGCATCGAAGCGTTTATTCGAAAGTGATTTTATCACTTTCAATTGTAATAATTGTTTTAAACCTGCGACCTCCTTATCATCACTATGCCCTATTTAATAGGGCTTAGTGATCAAAAGGGTCTATTATCATTGTGTTAAAAAATAAAAACATTAAACATGTAATAATGTTTTCGTTTTTTTATTAAAAATTTTAAATATTTATTCCGTAATTTTTTTTTTCGCTTATACTGTATTCTTGATAGGATATATGAAAACACGTGTTGTTTTTTCCATATTAGATTATCGGTTAGTTAAGGTGTAAGGTATACACGCTTTAAAGTAAATATTCGGTTGTTTTCTTTATGTATAGGCTATATACGATTTTACTCATACACACAACAGTTGGCCGGTAATGTTTACAGATCGAACCATATTATGATGTTTTCAATATCGTACAATGGTATTATATTTTTTTTTTATAGTAAATTTATAATAGATAAAGCATACCTTACAGCTTAATTAAGCGGTAATTTAATATGAAAAAAGCAAAATGCGTTTCATAATTCCCATCAAGAATAGAATAAAAACGAAAAAATAGATAATACGGAAAAAATATTTTTAATTTGGGCCCGGTTCTCCAACTAAAAGTTTATTCATCGAATTACTATTTCGCAAATAAATTTAGTTAAGGAATAAAATAAATAATGAAGCATTATAGAAAGACAAAATAAAGTAATTAAGTAGTAAAAACTCGAGGTTTAATTTTTCTTTTTACATTGTCCCTTAAATTTTAATGTTGGGTAACTGTTTTTTTTTACATTATAACTAGAATGCATGTACTTAATTTTATGGTTTCTAGAATAATTGATTAGTATATTTTTAGTAAATTAATTACGTAAAGGCTGTATACATGATGTGTGCGTGCAATGTAATTTGTTCATGATGTACTTTATATGTGCAGCAAGCACAATAAGCCGCATTGGGTCCGAATAAAGTGTTTGGTTATATCATTAAGGAAGTGTATTATATGATTCTAATTTTCTATTCTATTCTACTTATTTATTTTATTTATTCTGTATTAAAAAAAACTTTTGAACAAACGTTTCAATGCGAAATCGTAGATGATCAAATTCACTATAAGTAGTTAAGACTTATTATTGCATTAAGACAATTGCACAATTTTTTCACAATCTATTTGAATCGTTCGTTTTGTAAAATAATTCGCTAGAAAGGCATTTAAGCGCTCTAGCAGTAATTAATTATTTTTTCTTAAATATCTGATAACCGATTTGTATTAAATTATTTTAACGAATGAGACCTTGGTTTAGTTTCGAGTTAGGACTCTTTTTTTTTTTATTAATTTTTTTTAGGACCATCACATTTTTTTTGACAGCGATTCAAAGAAAAAACGTCATCTAAACATAACTACGCATATTATTCACTATTATAGGTTAAATAATAATAGAAGACAATTTTTTTTTGCATAATTAAAATAATGAAAACTTAATCTAGGTTCTTCCGTCGATTTGTTTTTTATATTATCTACACAATTTTCATAACTAATATTTTAATTAAGACATTATTTTACTTTTATAAACGCGTGTAATTAAAATAGAATTTACGTTTTCTCAAAAAATCCGACGAGCGAATCTAGATAAAGTTTTTTTCTTTTTAATGATATCGAAATATGTTCACTATGACTATTTCGCTTTGAAATCACTCTTTTCCATAAACACACATACGATTATTTTCAAATGGTATGGCATCCTCTTAAGCACAAAAAAATCGTATATTACCTTTAATTAATAAAATGCTCTTTTTTTATTTATAGTTGAATGATTTATTTATTTATTATTTATTCTAATAAAAGTGTACATATATTGCGTGAAGCGCTATGTTTAAAATAATTAAAATTATGATTTATATAATTTGTATTAAATGTATAATGACGTAGTCTGCCCGTTCGGCGATTGCGCGGCTGGTGTTGCTATTTCTCGTGTTTTTCTAAAAATTCAGTAACTAAAAAAATGTATATATAAGCTTAGGTTCCTTCTGTTGTACATTAAAATGTATAGTGTAAATTATAGTAAGCTAATAACTGTCGTTTTGTTGGTAAGGATAACCTGTATAATTTAAATTCAGTAAAAATAACTTTAATAGTGAGCATAATTAGCTCAAAAGTATAATTTAACTCTAGGTACGATAACATATTCTAACCTTTCAAATCTTTAGGAGTTGGTTTTTTTTTTTGGGGTTGCTGTAATATTAAAAAAAATTATATATATTATAGGTAATATATTTAGGTTCTTTTTATTGAACGTACAAAAATTGTACTGTGTACATTTGTAGTAAGTTATTAACTAACATTTTGTTAATAAAGATAATTTAGTCAAACCGTTGTAAATGCTGTAAACATTTATTTAGGTTTAAAAAATGTGTGTCTTACTAATAGTTCGTTCAAAAATATTATTCTTTCAAATTACTTAATACATGAATTGGAAAGATTTTTGGATGAATTTGTTTTAGTTAAGTAATGAAAATAACTCACGCGCTGGTAAAACTGTAAAACAAAAAGGCAGTGGTTAGTATTCAAATTATTAATTGTTATACTTTGGTGTTTAATATTTATAAAAAATTTCAAAAATTATTGTTACTTATGTACACTCGAGTGCTTTAACATTGCTACTAGCACCATAACAAATTACAAGTAATGCATTTTGGTAAGTATTATTGTTGGCGAATGAAAGAAACAAAAAAAAAAAAACCTAAACTTTTTAATATACTAAATTGAGATTATGACTCTGATAATTATAAATAACATATAATTACGTTTTCGAACAAAATTAAAAAAAAACAGTTTGTCGGTATGAAACAAATTGTCAAAAATGTTTAGTCATTAACACCACGTAACATTTGTTAATCAATGAAATTGGTGTTAAATATGCAGATAAAGGATATAATTATAATGACTAAAACGACTTTGTTCACCAGACTACTGTATACTCAAGAGCGAATCATTATAATTGTACATATTATAAATACTATAATTTATGGTTAAAAATTATGTAATTGATAATTCGTTCAAAAATATAAATATTCTACAAAATTACTCAAGTTGAACAAATTTGTATGTTTTTTTTAGTAAAACAAAAAATCTTACTTTTATCTACATAAGCCGCTTTTCCGTCTGAGAAACAAAAACATTTTGTTATATTTAGGTGGTTTATATTTATACAAAATTCTAGAACTATGAAATTCGAGTTATGTGTACACTTATACAATATCGGGAATAAAATGATGGTCTAGCTGTATGATCATTATCGATCAATTTTGGAGAGACCTTGTATAATCTAATGATGAGACATAATCTGTACATATTATAAATGCTGTAAACATTTTTTTAGGTTTTTAGGTACTCAGTGTACGCTTTGGAAAGATTTATTTGCATTATTTAGTAACAAAGAAAATAACTTACGTATTTTATTTGCCCCAGACTTAGATCCAGGTTTAGACCCAAATACCGCTGAAAAACAAAAGGGTTTTGTTATATTCAGGTGGTTAATATTTATACAAAATTTCAAAAATGGTTGTTATTAATCAAACTCGAATTATTTTTTTTTAATTTTCACTAGTATCTAATGACGATAACTAGTTATCTCACGAGTAACATTTTAAAGGCAGTAACATCACGCAACATATTTTGTTAAATAAACAAAAGTGATCTTAGATATGCAGCCAAAAAAAAATTATTATATTGACTATTTATCAGTTGATTTAGTTCAACATACCAGAATATTCTTTAAAATTACACAAGTGTATGCTTTGAAAAGATTAGTATGCTTTTTTTAGTAAATCAATGAAAATAACTTACTCAATTTTGGTGCTGGATTAGAAGCTGTAAAACAAAAGGGAAGTGGTAATTAATGAAATTATAAATTATTATATTTTGGTGGTAAATATTTATAATAAATTTTAAAAATAATTGTTATTTAAAAAATTTGTAATTGATAATTCGTTTTGGAAAGATTTCTGTGTTTACTAAAAAAACCTAACTTACTTCTTTCAGGCGGGGTCGCCTCTGAAAAACATAAGGATTTTGTTATATTTAGGTGATTAATATTTATACAAAATTCTAGAACAATGAAATTTTAGTTATGTGTACACTTGTACAATATCGGAAACACAATTATGGTTCTTGCTGTATGATCATTATCGATCATCTATGGTGAGACCTTGTATAATCTTATGATGAGTCATAATCTGTACATATTATAAATGCTGAAATAAAACATTTTTTTAGGTTTAAAAAATGAGTATCTTATAAATAGTTCGTTCAAAAATAATATACTTCCAAATTACTACAGTGTACGCTTTGGAAAGATTTATATGCATTTTTTAGTAAACAAAGAAAATAACATACGTGTAGAATAGTCCTCAGACCCAGATCCAGACCCAGATACCGCTGAAAAACAAAATAATTATGTTATATTTAGGTGGTTAATGCTTATACGAAATTCCAAAAATTATATTTATTCAAATACCTGAGAATAATGTTAGAATTGCCACAAGCAACATAACAGTGCACAAGAAATGCATTTTTGACAATATCTATAAAGATGACGGTCGTTTGCCTTTGGAAGTAACTGGAATACTAGTGGTGACCTACTATATTTTTTTTCTTATATAAGCTGCGTAGTATTTGGTTAATAGTAAAAACTACATGTTTTATAAGTTGTTCTTTGTTTGTACAAATTGCACAGAACATATTTATCAACATTTTAATACAAAATCGTACGAGAAGTGGGTCATTCGAAACACGAATTTACAAAAACATATAGTTGGGGCAATATGTAGGAGTTTTGAAAAAATAACATACTAAGAAACAGATGTCTAAAAAGTATCATGATACAAAAACAATACTGAAAAATAGAGAAACATAATATTCTATAATTTGTTCAACAATTCTTAGTAAGCCGTACAGTTTTAGTTTAATTTTTAAACGGAGTAAGGGTATAGCTTCTTTCAATTATGACTTTTAAAGGACAAACTACAAAAGCCTAATATATTATGTGAGATGACTCAAATCTTGATCCCTTTAAAATGATATGCAATATAATAGATTTTATTATTTGTAAACATTACCGAACAACTGTTGTGTATTTGAGTAAAATCGTGTTTTTCAAATAGCATTGTAACATTTCTAAATCCTATAGTATTATTGTTTTTATACTTAAAATATTATTATATAATAAAGTTAATACACTAATGCTATATATACTAATTAATATAAAATGCTTCCGTATATTCGTATATTGTATAAATCAGTGTAGAGAGTAAAAAACTCAATTGTCTCCATATATGAAAGAAAACTATCATGAGCATTTTTAATACTATATTTATTGCAATGCACCTTTATGAGTATAATCAAATACATACTATATTTCTACATTAATAATCATGTTTTTCAGATCGCATCATAACATTTCTAAAACCTATGGTATTATTGTTTTTATACCTAAAATCTTGATATGTAAAAAAATTAATATATATGATACTAGGAAAAAACAATAATGCAATTATATAACGTTAATAGGAACGCTTCCGTATAATATTACAGCTTACTTCAGTTCTTGGAATTTTTTAACGAAAATAATTAACGTTTTTAGCTTCGATGCGATGCAGGGGAGGTATTAATTTTTTTTAAATAATCCGGTTTTATAAAATTTCGAGTCAAGCAATAATACATAAAATAAAACAACTGAATATTTTACTTTAAAACGTGTATACCTTACACTTTAACTACGCAATAATCTAATATGAAAAAACAAAATGCGTTTTCATAATTTCCATCAAGAATATAATATAAACGAAAAAAAAATTATACGGAAAAAATATTAAAAATAATTAAATGAAAATACAGGTTGATCCACTTATCGTGAACCACTCAATATGTCATAGGGTTTAGTAAGAAATTAATAGTTTTTTTTCATATTTTTTTTATACAATGCAATCTCAATTTTTCACATTTATTTTGTTTTTACCCCTCCCAACTTTTTTGATAGCAACTTTTAAAATTTCAATTGAAACGTAAATATTTTTATTAACTTTTTAAATTGAGAAAAATGTATTAAAAATTTTGACTGGTCGACAACCAGTTTCGGATAACTATTTTACTTATAAGAGTTTTTAAGTTAAGATAGGAGGGGAAACGCGGTTGGGAAATGCGCACAGATAAAAATAATACTACACTCCGCCTTTCCTCCTGCCCAAAACTTGAAACTTCAATAACTTTAAAAATAGTTATCCGAAACTGAAGTATTGTTTTTTCTTTATAAAATATATATTCATTTTTTTACATAATAATATTTTAGGTAAAACAATAATAATACCATAGGTTTTAGAAATGTGATGATGCGATTTGAAACTTAGTTATTGAAGTTTCAAGTTTTGGACAGGAGGAAAGGCGGAGTGTAGTATTATTTTTAGCTGTGCGCATTTCCCAACCACAATTCCCCTCCCATCCTAACTTTAACACTCATCACTTTAAAAATAGTCATCCAAAACTGGTTATCGACCAGTAAAAATGTTTAGTACATTGTTCTCAATTAAAAAAATTAATAAAATATACACATTTCAGTTTCAAAAATTGCAATCAAAAAAACTAATCTGGAAGGAGGGTAAAAACAAAAAAAATTGTTAAAAATTGAGATCACATTATATAAAAACAATACGAAAAAAAACATTTTAATTTCTTATTAAACCCTATGAGATATTGAATGGATCCCGATAAGTGGATCACCCTGTATATGTTAAATGTTAAGAGAGGACATATTTTCCATTTTAAGATATTGATCATTTTTTTGTATACTTTTTAACAAACGTTCGTTTTATAAAATCATTTTTCGTTGATTTCGCATTATAAGTTTTTAAATACGAATAAATTGATTTTACATAGTATCCAGTCAAGACAATTTTTGGAATAAAAGCCAGTACAGTGGGGTGGGGTCAGGGCAAAGCGGGGATGGAGTTTGGTGGTGACAAGGAGGTCACAGGTTTAGAAGAATTATTACAACTGAAAGTGATAAAATAACTCTCGAATAAACTTTTTGATGTGAATCAATAGTAAGTATTTTCAAACCAGTAAAGTCCAAACCAAGCATAGTATAAACCAGCAAAGTAAGAAAGAATAAAAGTGAGGGGCAGTGTTTACAAATTAGCATCTACGAGTTTATTTGAATGGGATGTCGTCCAAAAGAATACAACAGTAGGACGGGGGCATAATGGTATCAAAGAATAGAGGAGACGGAGTGGTCACAGGTCTTTAGAAATTATTATTAATAAAAACGGGTAAAAATATTTTCTTATTTTTGTTTTTTTAAGTGTAGTGTAAAGCACTAAAGTCTGAAAATATATATCAAAAGAACAACTGCTGTTGTTTTTTGTTTTTCCCTATTCCTCTGAAAACATTTATCAACATTTTATTACACAATCTAACTAGAAGTGCGTCATTCGAAACACAAATTTACAAAAACATATAGTTGGTAATATGTAGGAGTATTAAAAAAATATTATACTAAGAAACAGATGTCTTAAATGAATCATGGTACAAAAATAATACTGAAAAATTAAGAACTATATTATTCTATTATTTGTTAAATATTTTTTGGTAAGCCGAAAATTATAGTTGAAAAATATATTTTTTTTTAAATGTTTAAACTGAGTAAGGGGTTAGCTCAATTAATACTATTAAATATTTTATATATTATATGAGATGACTCAAATCGTAATTCCTTTAAAATAATTTGCAATATAATATATTTTATCATTTGCACATATTTTTCAGTTAAAATAATATAACGCCTTTGTACGATATTGAAAACAATATGCTATGGTTCGATCTGTTAAACATACCGACCAACTATTGTGTATATGAGTAAAATCGTATTTTTCAAATCACATTATAACATTTCTAAAACCTATGGTATAATTGTTTTATACCTAAAATATTATTATATAATACAATTAATACACGAATGCTATACTTACTAATTAATGTAAAATGCTTCCGTATATTCTTACTTCAGTTCTTAGGAGTTTTTAGTTAAAATGATTAAGGTTTTTTAAAAATTAACCGGTTTTGTACAATTAAAAAAAAACAATTTTAATATTAAATAATATGCCATTGCACGCATATTCTGGAAAGTGCTCAGCCGCTCAATTTCGTTGAATAATCATTATTATTATGTGTTATTGAACGTTAAATAAATTTTACTTTCTAACATTCCTGCGATTTGTCGTCAATATCAGCTGTTCCATATTAATTGTCATTATCATTACCATCAGCAATGATTAGTTATTATTTCCACATCAGGGTAATATATTCTAATGTTTATGGAATATGAATGTAAAATTTAAAATCTTCAGTAGCCGGGGGCATAATATTATGTCAAATATCAAAAATTTGATTACAACATTTTCACTATTACTAATAGGAACAAGTTTTTGTTTTTGAAATCATTAAGTTTATTAGTTTTCATCGTAAATTGTAGGGCAATATAAAATTTAGTCGCAATTAGGGATTTTATAAACACAATAAATTGACAATACTTCAATGTATCAACAAAACGGCACATGATTTTTCGGGATTCTGAATACACAATGCAAGTCACGGTGCACGCACTTTTTTGGCATGATAATATTTTAATATCGTAATCAAAATTTGAAGCGGTTGAGTTAGAAAAAAATTTCATCAAGTCTTGTCTGCTGATAAGATATGTGAACAATTTACTAAACGTTTGTAAGATGTCACGGTTTCCGACCGCAGGTACAGAACCGCATATAAACTTAGGTTCCTTCTGTTGTACATTAAAATGTATTGTGTAAATCATAGTAAGCTAATAACTGTCGTTTTGTTGGTAAGGATAACCTGTATAATTTAAAATCAGTAAAAATAACTTAGAGTTAAATAGTAAGCATAATTAGCTCAAAAGTATAATTTAACTCTAGGTATGATAACATATTCTAACCTTTCACTTTTTCTCGTTCTGTGTGTACATTTCGTGGTTTTGCTGTAATATTGAACATTTTTAAATATATATATATATATTTAGGTTCCTTTTATTGTACGTACAAAAATTGTACTATGTACATTTGTAGTAAGTTATTAACTAACGTTTTATTAATAAAGATAAGCTGTATATTTTGTATCCAGTAGAAATAATCAAAGTTAAGTATTGAAGATAATTTAGTCAAACCGTTGTAAATGCTGTAAACATTTATTTAGGTTTCAAAATGTACGTCCTACTAATAGTTTGTTCAAAAATATTATTCTTTCAAATTACTTAGTGTATGATTAGGAAAGATTTTTGGATGAATTTGTTTTAGTAAAATAATGAAAACAACTCACGCGCTGGTAAATCTGTAAAACAAAAAGGCAGTGGTTAGTATTCAAATTGATAATAGTTATATTTTGGTGTTTTTTGGTGTAACTTTTTATTATACTAAGTTGAGATTACTGATTAGGGCTATGATAATTATAAATAACATATAATTACGTTTTGTGTTTTATCGAACAAGATTTAAAAAAAACGGTTTGTCGGTATGAAACAAACTGTCAAAATTGTTTAGTCATTAACCCCACGTAACATTTGGTATTAAATGAAAGAGATCTTAAATATTCAGATAAAGTATATAACTATAATGACTAAATTGACTTAGTTAATACTAAAAACCACATGTTTTGTAAGTTGTTTTTTGTTTGTACAAATTGCTCAGAAAATATTCAGCAACATTTGAATACACAATCGTACTAGAAGTGGGTCATTTGAAACACGGATTTACAAAAACGTATAGTTGGTAACATGTTGGAGTTTTGAAAAAATAACATACTAAGAAGCAGATGTCTAAAATGAATCATGGTACGAAAATAATACTGAAAAATAAATAATCATAATATTCTATTATTTGTTCAATAATTCTTAGTAATTCTTGGTAGTTGAAAATATTTTTTTTAATTTTTAACCGCAGTAAGGGTTTAGCTTCTATCAATTAAGACTTGTAAAGGACAAACTACAGAGGTTTAACATATTTTGTGAGATGACTCAAATCTTGAATCTTTTAAAATTATATGCAATATAATAGATTTTATCATTTGCACATATTTTTAAGTTAAAAAAAAAACAACATCTGCTCTGACGCTATAACAATAACATGGTTCGATCTGTAAACATTACCGACCAACTGTTGTGCATATGAGTAAAATCATGTTTTTCAAATCGCGTTATAAAATATTATTATGTTATGATAAAATTAATATAGTTTTTTTTAGGAAAATAGAATACTCCAATTATATAACGATATTGACGACAAATCGCAGGAATGTTAATAAGTAAAATTTATTTAACATTCAATAACACATAATAATAATGATTATTCAACGAAATTGAGGGGCTGAGCACTTTCCAGATTATGCGTGCAATGGCATATTATTTAATATTAAAATTGTTTTTTTTTTAATTGTACAAAACCGGTTAATTTTTAAAAAACCTTAATCATTTTAACTAAAAACTCCTAAGAACTGAAGTAAGAATATACGGAAGCATATTATATTAATATAGCATTCGTGTATTAATTTTATTTTATAATAATATTTTAGGTATAAAACAATTATACCATATGTTTTAGAAATGTTATAACGCGATTTGAAAAGCATGATTTTACACTTGTATGTATACAAAATAGTTGGTCGGTTTTGCTTACTGATCAAACCAGGTTATTGTAGTAGAGTCACAGCAGATGTTGTTTTAAAATTAATATTTGACTTTTATGCTTTACTACACTTAAAATACTAAAATAAAAAATTTGACCATTTTTATTAAAAATAATTTCTATAGACCTTGTGACCTTTCCGTCCCCTCTATGCTTTGATTCCATTATGCCACCACCATACTGTACTAGTCCTTTCGGATGAAATGCCTTTCAAATAAACGATTTGATGCTAATTTTTAAACACTGCACCTCATTTTGCTGGTGTATACTGTGCTTGGTTTGGACTTTACTGGTTTGAAAATACTAACTATTGATTCGCATCAAAGCGTTTATTCGAAAGTGATTTCATCACTTTCAGATGTAATAATTCTTTTAAACCTGTGACCTCCCTGTGACCACCATGCTCCATCCCCACTTTGCCAGTGGGGAAGTGCTCGCAATTTGAATTGCAACATTCCACCGGAACGACAAACAAGATTGTAAATTCATAAAAACGTTATAATAAAAATCAAAATGTGTTTCATGATTCCCATCAAGAATAGAATATAAACGAAAAAATAGATAATACGGAACAAATATTTTTAATTTAGGCCCGGTTTTTCCACTAAAAGTTTATTTATCGAATTACTATTTCGCATAAAAATTTAGTTTAATTCCGAATAAAATAAACATTGAAGCATTATAGAAAGACAAAATAAAGTAATTCAGTAGTAAAAACTTGAGGTTTAATTTTTTTTTTTACATTATCCCTTAAATTTTAATGTTGGGTAACTGTTTTTTTTTCATTATAACTAGAATGCATGTACCTAATTTTATGGTTTCTAGAATAATTAATTAGTATATGTTTAGTAAATTAATTACGTAAAGGCTGTATACATGATGTGAGCGTGCAATGTAATTTGTTCATGATGTACTTTATATGTGCAGCAAGCACAATAAGCCGCGTTGGGTCCGAATACATTTTTTGGTTATATCATTAAGTGTATTATAAAATTCCAATTTTCTATTCTATTCTACTTATTCATTTTATTTATTATGTATTAAAAAAAACTTTCGAACAAACGTTTCAATGCGAATTATTTTCAAATGGTATGACGTCCTCTTAAGCTCAAAAAATCGTATATTACCTTTAATTAATAAAATACTCCTTTTTTATTTATTTATAGTTGAACGGTTTATTAATTATTTGCATGATCACAGTAAGTTTTTTATTTTATTTTATTCTAAGAAATGTGTACATATATTGCGTGAAGCGCTATGTTTATAAGAATTAAAATGATGATTTATATAACTTTAATGAATAATGAAATAGTATGCCCGTTCAGTTAGGTCGTAGGTTCCTCGTATCCATTTAAAAATTCTGTAATTAAAAAAAATATATATATATATTTAGGTTCCTTCTGTTGTACATTATAGTGTATAGTGTAAATTATAGTAAGCTAATAACTGTCGTTTTGTTGGTATGGATAAACTGTATAATTTATAATCAGTAAAAATAACTTATAGTTAAATAGTGAACATAATTTGTTCAAAAGTATAATTTAACTCTGAGTATGATAACAAATTCTAACCTTCCACTTGTTCCGGAGTTAGATTACCCGGTGTATTTATTGGAATTGCTGTAATATTAAAAAAATGTATATATATATATAAATATTTAGGTTCCTTTTATTATACGTACAAAAGTTGTACTGTGTACATTTGTAGTAAGTTATTAACTAACGTTTTGTTAATAAAGATAAACTTTGTAATTTGTATTCAGTAGAAATAATCAAAGTTAAGTAATGGAGATAATTTAGTTAAACGGCTGTAAATGCTGTAAATATTTATTTAGGTTTCAAAATGTATGTCCTACTAATAGTTCGTTCAAAAATATTATTCTTTTAAATTACTCAGTGTATGATTAGGAAAGATTAATGGATGAATTTGTTTTAGTAAAATAATGAAAACAACTCACGCGCTGGTAAACCTGTAAAACAAAAGGGCAGTGGTTAGTATTGAAATTATAAATTGTTATATTTTGGTGTTTAATATTTATAAAAATGTCAAAAATTATTGTAACTTATGTACACTCTAACATTGCTTATGTACGTTTTAACATTGCTACTAGCACCATAACAAATTACAAGTAATGCATTTTGGTAAATATTATTGTTGGCGAATGAAAGAAACTAAAATAAACAAACCTTAACTTTTTAATATACTATGTTGAAATAATGACTCTGATAATTATAAATAGCATATAATTACGTTTTGTGTTTTATCGAACAAAATTTAAAAAAAAAGGTATGACGGTATGAAACAAATTGTCAACATTTTTAAGTCATAAACACCAGGTAACATTTCTTAATCAATGAAAGTGGTCTTAAATATGCAGATAAAGGATATAATTATAATGACTAAAACGACTTTGTTCACCAGACTACTGTATACTCAAGGGCGAATCATTATAATTGTACATATTATAAATACTATAATTTATAGTTAAAAAATATGTAATTGATAATTTGTTCGAAAATATAAATATTCTACAAAATTACTCAAGTTGAACAAATTTGTATGATTTTTTTAGTAAAACAAAAAAACTTACGTCTTGTATCTACATAAGCCTCATTTCCGTCTGAAAAACAAAAGCATTTGGTTATATTTAGGTGGTTAATATTTATACAAAATTCTAGAACTATAAAGTTCGAAACAAAATTATGGTTCTAGCTGTATGATCATTATCGATCAATTATGGTGAGACTTTGTAAACTCTAATGGTGAGGTATATCTGTACATATTATAAATGCTATACACTATTTTTTTAGGTTTTTAGGTATTTAGTGTACGCTTTGGAAGGATTTATATGCATTTTTTAGTAAACAAAGAAAATAACTTACTTTTATCTTGCCCAGACCCAGACGCAGACCCATTTCCCGCTGAAAAACAAAAGGATTTTGTTATGTTTAGGTGGTTAATATTTATATAAACTCCAAAAATGATTGTTATTAATTAAACTCGAATTATTTTTTTATTTTATATTCACTAGTATCTAATGTCGCTAACTAGTTATCTCACGGTTAACATTTTGAAGGCAGTAACATCACGCAACATTTCTTAAATAAACAAAAGTGATCTTAGATATGCAGCTAAAGGAAATTATTATAATGACTATTTATCAGTTGATTTAGTTCACCATACCAGAATATTCTTTAAAACTACACAAGCGTTTGCTTTGAAAAGATTAGTATGCTTTTTTTTAGTAAACCAAGGAAAATAACTTACTCGTTGATGGTGCTGGTATAGGTGGTGGATTAGAAGCTGTAAAACAAAAGGGTAGTGGTAATTAATGAAATTATAAATTGTTATATTTTGGTGGTAAATATTTATAAAAAATTTCAAAAAAAATTGTTATTTAAAAATGTTGTAATTGATAATTCGTTTCGGAAAGACTTCTATGATTCTTTTAGTGAAACATAGAAAATAACTTACAGCTTCCAGTCACCTGGGTAGCCTCCACTGAAAAAAAAGAATTTTGTTGTATATAGGTGGTTAATATTTATACAAAATTTTAAGAACTACAAAAATCGAGTTATGTGTACACTTGTAGATTATCGGAAACAAAATTTTAGTTCTAGCTGTATGATCATTACCGATCAATTATGGTGGGACATTGTAAACTTTAATGATGAGGCATAATCTGTACATAATATAAATGCTGTAAACATTTTTTTAGGTCTTGGGTACTCAAGCGTATGCTTTGAAAAGATTTGTATGCTTTTTTTTAGTAAATCAAGGAAAATAACTTACTCGTTGATGGTGCTGGTATAGGTGGTGGATTAGAAGCTGTAAAACAAAGGGTAGTGGTAATTAATGAAATTATAAATTGTAGTTGTTAAATTGTTATATTTTGGTAGTAAATATGTATAAAAAATTTCAAAAATAATTGATATTTAAAAATGTTGTAATTGATAATTCGTTTCGGAAAGACTTCTATGATTTTTTTAGTGAAACATAGAAAATAACTTACAGCTTCCAGGCACCTGGGTGGCCTCCACTGAAAAAAAAGAATTTTGTTGTATATAGGTGGTTAATATTTATACAAAATTTTAAGAACTACAAAAATCGAGTTATGTGTACACTTGTAGATTATCGGAAACAAAATTTTAGTTCTAGCTGTATGATCATTACCGATCAATTATGGTGGGACATTGTAAACTTTAATGATGAGGCATAATCTGTACATAATATAAATGCTGTAAACATTTTTTTAGGTCTTGGGTACTCAAGCGTATGCTTTGAAAAGATTTGTATGCTTTTTTTTAGTAAATCAAGGAAAATAACTTACTCGTTGATGGTGCTGGTATAGGTGGTGGATTAGAAGCTGTAAAACAAAAGGGTAGTGGTAATTAATGAAATTATAAATTGAAATTGTTAAATTGTTATATTTTGGTAGTAAATATGTATAAACAATTTCAAAAATAATTGATATTTAAAAATGTTGTAATTGATAATTCGTTTCGGAAAGACTTCTATGATTTTTTTAGTGAAACATAGAAAATAACTTACAGCTTCCAGGCACCTGGGTGGCCTCCACTGAAAAAAAAAAGAATTTTGTTGTATATAGGTGGTTAATATTTATACAAAATTTTAAGAACTACGAAAATCGAGTTATGTGTACACTTGTAGATTATCGGAAACAAAATTTTAGTTCTAGCTGTATGATCATTACCGATCAATTATGGTGGGACATTGTAAACTTTAATGATGAGGCATAATCTGTACATAATATAAATGCTGTAAACATTTTTTTAGGTCTTGGGTACTCAAGCGTATGCTTTGAAAAGATTTGTATGCTTTTTTTAGTAAAACAATAGAAAAAACTTACTCGGTGGTGGTGGTGGAACAGAAGCTGTAAAACAAAAGGGTAGTAGCAATTAATGAAATTATAAATTGTTATGTTTTGGTGGTTAATATTTATAAACAATTTAAAAAAAAATCATTCTTTATATACACCCGAGTGCTTTAACATAATACAAAGAAACTAAAATAAACACGGCTTAAGTTTTTAATACACTAAGTTGAGATTATGACTCTGACCTTTATAATTAATGTATAATTGCGTTTTGTAAATATTTTAAGGCACAATTATATTTTCGTACCCTTCACATAATCATCGAACAATTAAAAAAAATGGTTTGTCGGTATTAAACAAATCGTCAAAATTGTTTAGTCATTAACCCCACGTAACATTTGGTAATAAATAAAAGAGATCTTAAATACTCAGGTAATGTACATAACTCTAATTTCTAAATCGACTTTGTTCACCACACTACTGTATACTCAATGACGAAGCATTATTATTCTCCATATTATAAATACTATATTATCGGCTATTTATTGTTGAAAAATGTGTAATTGATAATTTCTATGAACTTTTTACTAAAACAAAGAACATAACTTACGTCTTTCAGGCGGAGAAGTCACTGAAAAACAAAAGGATTTTGTTATATTTAGGTGGTTAATAATCATACAAAATTGTAGAACAATGAAATTCTAGTTATGTGTACACTTGAAAAATATTGGAAGCAAAATTATGGTTCTAGTTGTATCTATACATATTATAAATGCTAAAATAAAACATATTTTTAGGTTTAAAAAATGAGTCTCTTATTAATAATTCGTTCAAAAATAATATACTTCCATATTACGCCACAGTGTACGCTTTGGAAAGATTTATATGCATTTTTTAGTAAACAAAGAAAACAACTTACGTCTCACAGATCCAGATGCAGATCCAGACCCAGATCCATTCCCAGTCCCATTCCCAGACCCATTCCCAGACCCATTCCCAGACCCATTCCTAGACCCATTCCTAGACCCAGATCCCGCTGAAAAATAAAAGGATTTTGTTATATTTAGGTGGTTAATATTTATACGAAATTTTAAAAATTATATTTATTTAAATACCTGAAAACTTTGTTAGAATTTCTACGAGCAACATAACAACGTACAAGAAACGCATTTTTGACAATATATATAAAGATGACTGTCGTTTGCCTTTGGAAGTAACTAGAATACTAGTAGGTACCTACTATATTTTTCTTTTTATATTAGCTGCGTAGTGTTTGGTTAATACTAAAAGCTACATGTTTTATAAGTTGTTTTTTGTTTGTACAAATTGCTCAGAAAATATTCATCAACTTTTTAATGCACAATTGTACTAGAAGTGGGTCATTCGGAACACAGATTTACAAAAATATATAGTTGGTAATATGTTGGAATTTTGAAAAAATAACATACTAAGAAACAGATGTCTAAAAAGTATCATGATACAAAAACAATAATGAAAAACAATGAAACATTGTACGATATTGAAAACAACATGTTATGGTTCGATCTGTAAACATTACCGACCAACTGTTGTGTTTATGAGTAAAATCATGTTTTTCAAATCGCATCATAACATTTCTAAAACCTATGGTACTATTGTTTTTATACCTAAAATATGATTATGTAAAAAAATTAATATATATTTTACTAGGATAAAACAATAATGCAATTATATAACGTTACTAAAATGTTTTGTATATTATTCTCAATTTAAAAAGGCAATAAAATATATACGTTACCATTTAAGATTCACAAGTTGCTATCAAAAATATTAGGAGGGGGATAAAAACATAATGACTGATCGATAACCAGTTTCGGATAACTATTTTTGAAGTTGTTGAAGTTTCAAAATTAGGGCAGGAGGAAAGGTGGAGTGTAGTATTATTTTTATCTGCACGCATTTCCCACCCGCACTTCCTCTCCCATCCTATCTTTTTTTAAGTATAGTTGAAAGATGTATTAATTATTTGAATAGACACAGTAAGTTTTTTTATTTTATTTTATTCCAAGAAATGTGTACATATAATGCGTGATGCGCTATGGTTATAAGAATTAAAATGATACATAATATAATTCTTTTTTAATGAATAATGAAACAGTCTGCCCGTTCGGCGATTGCACGGCTATTACGTTGCTTTTACTCGTGTTGTCTTAAAAA